ACATCTGTGCGGAGAACTGCTCTATCCTCGTGGACAACAAAATAGGGTTCGTCCACCCGCAATGCTGCCAGCTCCGACGGCCGACGGGCTGAGGTGATGGCGACCAGGAAGGCCACCTTCCATGACAACAACCGAAGTTCAATCGAAGACAAAGGCTCGAAAGGCGGTTGCGCGAGCCGAGCCAGCACGAGGTCGAGGTCCCAACCCGGAGTCGGGGAACGGACCGGGGGGTGCAAGTTGTTGAAACCTCGCAGGAAAGATCTCACGGAGCTGTCTCTAAACAGGGAAGCTTCTCCCGTCCGTTGAAGCTGCCACGATATGGCCGCCAAGTGGGACTTGAGCGAAGATAGCGACAAGCCTCGCTCGGTAAGGTGCAGCAAGAACGAGAGAATTGCCGGTACCGACGGTCGATGATCGTCTAGGCCCTTCTCAGAGAGGAAGGCCTGGAAGCGGCTAAGGCACGCTGAGTAGCACTTCTTGGTTGCTGGCTTGTGAGCTGCCTCTAAGATCGGGAGAACCCCTGGACACAGGGATCTCAACACCGGATCCTCCACGCCGAAAGATGCAGAGAAGCGAGGTCGGGGTGGAGAAGCTGACCGTCTTCCCGGGAGAGCAGGTCCTGCCGAAGTGGAAGGCGTTTCATCCGTCCCTCGGACAGCTGGAGTAGGACCGAGAACCACGGTTGTCGTGGCCATTCCGGCGCTATCAAGATGCAGTCTGTTTGCGCCGACTGGATCCTCTCGATCACCCTCGGGATGAGCGGGAATGGCGGGAAGAGGTAGAGCAGATGCTTCGACCAGTCCAGCAGGAACGCGTCTCCGAGACACCCCGGTACCGTGTTCGGAGCAAGTCGAGCACCGAACTGAGGCAGCTGAGCGTTTCGCGGCGACGCGAAGAGGTCTGCGGCTGGGAGGCCCCATTCCCTGAAGATCTCCGCCAGGACATTGGGGTTCAGCCTCCACTCGTGGGATGTCGCCCTGGTCCTGCTGAGTACGTCGGCCTCGACGTTGGCTTCGCCCGGGAGGTGCAAGGCTGTTATCGACACCGACCTGGCTACACACCAGTCCCAGAGCTCCAGTGATAGCTTGAGAAGTTTTCTCGAGCCCGTTCCTCCCTGCTTGTTCACGTAGAACATTGCCACCATGTTGTCCGTGAGGATCTGGACAGACTTCCCCGTGACCAGGAGGGCAAAAGCTCTCAGGGCCTTGAAGATTGCCAGCAGTTCCAAGTAGTTGATGTGGGACTGCTTCTCCTGAGGAGACCAGAGGTCGTGTACCGAGAGTTCTCCTGTATGGCATCCCCATGCGAACATCGAGGCGTCCGTCGTGATTGTGACTGCCGGGGGTTCTGGATGAAAGGGAATGCCCTTGCAGACATGTTGGCGGCTCATCCACCAGGTCAGCGAGTCCTTTACCGACCTCGGTACCAGCAGACGCTTTGCGGCACTGTCCCGCATGGGGTTGAAGTGGTCCAAGAACCATCTCTGGAGGGGGCGGAAGCGGAGCCTTGCCAACGGTGTCACCATCACCGTGGAGGCCATGTGCCCGAGGAGGACTTGTATCTGCTTCGCCGGGACCACTCGGGAGCGACGCACCTTTAGTGTTTCGGCTCGAAGAGCCCTGAATCTCTCCTCTGGAAGGAAGACTGTCTGGGAGAGAGAATCGAACATGGCGCCGATGAACTTTATGCAAGTGGTGGGCTCGAGGTGGGATTTCTCCTCGTTCAACTGGAGGCCCAGGTCCTCGAGGAGGGAAAGTGTCCTTGCCACCTGCGGTGACAAGAGAGGGGCCCTTTCAGTGGCTGCTCCGACCCTTTGGAACTCCCTCCTTAAGGAGATTAAAGAACAGCTAAAAACCTTCATGTTCAAGCAAGCTTGCAATGAAATTTAATTTGGAATGAGTGCGTTGAGTGAAGTGTAGTGTTTGAACTGAGTTCTCACAACAACTGTATCTGCTAAATGGTTTTAAAATATTTATAGTTGGTTTTATTTGTATGGTTGATCTGTATTGTTTAAGACAGTGATTCTCAATCTTCCTAATGTCGCAACCCCTTCATGCAGTTCCTCATGTTGTAGTGACCCCCAACCATAAAATTATTTTTATTGCTCCTTCATAACTGTAATTTTGCTAGTTTTGAATCATAATGTGAATATCTGATATGCAGGATGTATTTTCATTCACTGGACCAAATTTGGCACAAATACCCAATACTCCCAATTTTGAATACTGGTGAGGTTGGGGGGGGGGGATTGACTTTGTCATTTGGGAGTTGTGGTTGCTAGGATGTATGGTTCAAAGAACATTCTGAACTCCACAAATGATGGAATTGAACCAATCCTGGTACATAGAACTCCCATGACCAACAGCAAATATTGGAAAGAATTTGGGAGTTGTAGTTCACCTACATTTAGAGAGCACTGTGGACTCAAACAGTGATGGATCTGGATCAGACTTGGCACATATATTCAATGTGCCCAAATGTGAACACTTGTGCAGATTGGGGAAAATAGACCTTGATATTTGGGAGTTTTAGTTGCTGGGATTGATAGTTCACCTACAATCAAAGAGCATTTTGAACCCCACCAACAATAGAATTGGGCCAAACTTCCCACACAGAACCCCCATGACCAACAGAAAATACTGTGTAACACACCTTTGCAACTCCCCCAAGGGATCCCAACCCCGAGGTTGAGAAACACTGGTTTAAAATATTGTGAATTGCCTTGGGTCCCATTTAGGGAGAAAAGCGGGATATTAAAAATATATTTAAAGGTAAAGGCTTTCCCCTGACATTGTCCAGTCGTGTTCAACTCTGGGGGTTGGCACTGATCTCCATTTCTAAACCAAAGAGCCGGTGTTGTCCATAGACACCTCCAAGGTCATATGGCTGGCATGACTACATGAAGCACCATTACCTTCCCACCGGAGCATTACCTATTGATCTACTCACATTTGCAACTTTTTGAACTGCTAGGTTGGCAGCAGCTGGGGCTAACAGTGGGAGCTCACGCCGCTCCCTGGATTCCAACTTTTGACCTTTCAATTAGCAAATTCAGCAGCTCAGTGATTTAACCCACTGCGCCACCGGGGGTTCCAAATAAAAAAATACATATTTTTATTTATGTATTTATTTATTATTACCAGTCCAAGGCCTTTGTGAGGCGGGGCTGCTGGGAGGTGCAGTCCAACCACACTAGAAGAGCCACATGATTTCCAGGCCAGCTCTAGATTTCTGCCCGGTGGTAAGGGAGGACTGTCTCACTGGGGCAGCAGAATAGGCTGTAGTAGCTGCAGTGCAACATCTGGATGGATGGCTCTTGGGTATCCCGCGAACCCAAGTCTCTCTCTCCCTGTCTGGGGGGGGGGGGGGCGAGCGCCGGGGAACGCCAGCAGAAAAGCCCACGCGTGCTCTATGCGCCCAAGTAGGAGAAGGGCCAGGGCTTGCCCGAGTGTGGCGTTGCCGACGGGGTCCCACGCCTGTGGCTTCGAGAAAGAACTGCCTTCACTACTGACCCGACTCGGGAGAGGCTCCCGCCTGGCGCTCCCTGTCCTCGTGTGAGAGACTGGGCGGCAGGGTGTGTGAATATAAGAGCGAAAGAAATAGATGGTGGGGAGAGAGAAAGGGGGGGAAAGAGCTAGGGAGAGAAGAGAGGAGGCAGAGGAAATAGAAGGGGAGGCGAGAAAGGGAGACAAGAGCCCTTTCCACTCAGCTGTTTAAAATCCACATTGAACTGGCAGTGTGGACTCAGATTGTGCCTTATCTGCCTTGATATTCTGGGTTATATGGCTGTGTGGAAGGGCTCTTAGAGAGAGAAGAGGAGGAGGAAGGAGAAAGGCGGAGAAGATAAAAGGGGAAAAGAAGAAGGAAACACAGAAAGAGGGAGAAGGAAGGAGGGGGAGGGAAGGAAGAAAGAAGAAAAAGAGGGGTAGAGAAGGAGAGAAGAAGAGGAAGAAAGAAGGAAGAGAGAAGAGGAAGGGGGAAGAGGAAGGAAGAAGAAAGGAAGAGAAAGAGAAGGAGGAAAAGAGGAGAGAAGAAGAGAGAGAAGAAAGAAAGGAGTAGGAAATAAATACAGAGAGAGGGGGCGGGAGGGAAAGAAGAGAGAGGAAGAAGAGGAAGGGAGAAATAAAAAGAGAAGAGGAGGGAGGGAGTGAGAGAGGCGGAGAGAGAGAGAAGAGGAGGGAGGGAGGAAGAAAGAGAGAGAGTAAGAAATAGAGAGGAGGGAGAGAGAAGAAGAGGAGGATAAGAAAAGAGAAAGAGAGGAGGAAGAGAGGGAGCGAGACCAAGAGGGGGAGAAGAAGAGAGAGGGAGAAAGAAAGAAAGAGAGAGACAAGGAAGGAAAAGACAGAAAGAAAGGGGGCGGGAGGGAGGGAAAGGAGGGGAGAGAAGAAGAGGAAGGGAGAAACAGAAAGAGAGGAAGAGGGAGGGAGGGAGGGAGGGTGGGAGAGAGGCGGAGAGAGGGAGATGAAGAGGGAGGGAGGAAGAGGTAAGAAATAGAAAGAGGAGGAAGAGGAGAAGGAGGGAGAAAAAGAGGGAGAGAAGAAGAGGAAGGGAGAAATAGAGAGTGAGAGAGGCGGAGAGAGAGAGAAGAGGAGGGAGGGAGGAAGAAAGAGAGAGGTAAGAAATAGAAAGAGAGGAGTAAGAGGAGGGAGAAAAACGGTGAGAGGAAGAGGGAAAAAGAAAGAAAGGAGGAGGAGAGGGGAGAGAAGAAGAGGAAGGGAGAAATAGAAAGAGAGGGAGGAGGGAGGGAGAGAGAGAGAGAGGCGGAGAGGAGGAGAAGAGGGAGGAAGAAAGAGAGAGAGCAAGAGGGAGGGGGGAGAGAAGAGCGATTGCGAGCCCCGCGCCTCCTCCTCCTCCTCCTCCTCCTCCTCCTCGGTGTGGCTCTTCTTCCCTCCCGCTCTCATTCCGCAGCTGGTCCGGACAGACCGGGCGCCCCTTCGCCTTTTGAGAAGCGAGGAGAGGAAGAGGAGGGCGAGCCCTTGGGAAGGAGGGGGGGAGGGAGGGAGGGAGGGAGGGCAGCAGCGTTAGCATCAGGAGCAGGATCCCCCCGTGGCACTCTCCCTGGGACTAGCCCTCGGGGCGGCGGGCGTGAGCGAGTGGCATGTGCGCGCGTCCGGCGTGGTCGGGGTCGTGGCCGTGGTGTTGGGGTCTGCTTCCCGGCGGCGGAGGGGCGATGATCCAGAGGCCGGGCCGGGGACGCCGCTCCTCCTAAGAGTCCGGAGCCAGGATGGGCCGCCTGCCGCAGCCCCTGCCGCTCCTCCTGGTCTGCCTGGCGCAGGGCCTCCTCCCGCTCGTAAGTCCGCGCTTCTCTCTCCCAGGCGTCGCCTGCCTTTCGCCCCGCCAGGAAGGAGGCCGGGACAGTTGGGCACCAGTTGGGGTCCAAGGGTTGGAAAGAGGGCTCTCATTGTTGCTCATTCGTTGGCAGGTGCCTTTTGGGGGACGGCTTGGGAAAGTTGGCTTGGCGAATGCTTCGGCTTCGGCTTGGCTAGTTGGCAAAAAACTTTGGAAACAAGTCAGAGAGAGAGAAAGGCGCGATGATGATAAGGAGGGGAATGAGGATGAGTTGGGTGCTGTTTGGACTAGGGAATGTACCCGGTTTGCTCTCGGCAGCTGCGACAAAGGCCCCTTCCACACAGCTGTAAAACCCACAATGGACCGGATTATATGGCAGTGTGGACTCAGGGCTCTTCCGCACAGTCCTTTAACCCAAAATATCAAGGCAGAAAATCCCACAATATCTGCTTTGAACTGGAATATCTGAGACCCCTTCCACACAGCAGAATAAAATCCCACATCTGCTTTGAACTGAGATATATGGCAGTATGGAGTATGGAATTCCAGTTCAAAGCAGATATTGTGGGTTATTCTGCATTGATATTCCGGGTTATATAGCTGTGTGGAAGGGTCCTGGGTTATTGGAGGCTTTGAAGAGAGAGATATGGCAGTGTGGACTGAGATAACCCAGTTCAAAGCAGATATTGTGGGATTTTCTGCTTTGGTATTCTGGGTTATATGCCTGTGTGGAAGGGCCCTGAGCCCACAGTGCCATGCAGGCATGTAGCCGGGGTGGGGGGCTTCACCCCCCCCCCCCCGAAATTCTCATGGTGGTTCGCGAAAAGGCCTTACTGGTGCATTATTTAAACTGTTATGTTTATTCATCTCATGATCTGATCACCATACTCAATATATCCCATATGCATGGGGGTATTGGGGTAATGATACAAAAGGTTTGCTAGGCTAGACCCTCTTTCACTCAGACTCCCCCCCCCCCCGAAACCTCACCCCCCCCCCTCCCAAAAAAATCCTGGCTACTGGCCTGGTGCCATGTATTCCAGTTCAAGGCAATTATTGTGGGATTTTATTTAGCTGTGTGGAAGGGGCCTCAGAAAATCTAGTTGAAAGCAGATATTGTGGAGTATCTGCCTTGATATTCTGGGTTATATGTCTGTGTGGAAGGTCCTGTACAATGAGAGCCCATCTAGAAATTCAGAGTTGAATTAAACAGTCCAGGAAACCCCAAAGTGTGTTGTTTTTTAGGCGAAGGGGCCACAGGTTGAGCAATTTGAGAGTTTGGTTTCAAGTCTTTGCCAAATGATGTGTTGTTAAATCTAAGCAATGTAAAACTTGATGACAACAACAACTAAACTCAGCACTTATAGGCTTGGGCTGCATCTCCGCTGTAGTATGAATGCAGTCTGTGCCACTTGAACTGCCATGGATGAGTGCTATCCAGTGCTGGCACCCTTTGGCAGAGAAGGCTTTGTAAAGCTACCAGGTTCCCTAGCATTGAGCCATGAGAGCTAAAGTGGTGCCAACCTGCATTCATTCTCCAGTGGAGATGCACCCTTGGAAGAAGTTAGCTGCACCATTGCTTGCCCCAGAGGGCCCTGCTGCACAGCCATATAACCCAGAATATCGAGGCAGAAAATCCCCCAATATCTACTTTGAACTGGGTTCTCGGAGTCCACACTGCCATATATTCCAGTTCAAAGTAGATAATGTGGGATTTTATTCAGCTATGTGGAAGGGGCCAGAGTTTCCAGTGACAAGAAAGAGTGTTTCCCTGCAGGAGATCAAATGTATTCCTAGCAGGGTGTAACTTTCTCATTTGTTTGCAGCTAGCAGTGAGCGAGTGAGAGGACCAATGAAGACTATTGTATAAGCATGTAGGAATACCATAAGCCTTTGTGGATACTGGCCGCTACCAGACATCAATTGTGTGTTGTAAATAGAATCACAGCCTATGCTTCTTTTGCAGACAGAATCTAAGAGTGATTTTGTTAAAATGTCAGTGTGGTATGACTATGGAGAACTACTAAACAATCTTCATTTATTTTGTTTATTTGCATCCAACTTTGCTTCCATAGTATATAATCTTGTGGCATCTTTTAAAAAAATGAGTACATTGGTGGTTATTGTCGCCTTTCATAGATTGGAGTTTACGCAGTTGGTTTCCAGTCTATGATTAAGCAATTTGGATACAGGTTTGATGTGAGAAGATTTACATGCAAACCCGGATTATGTATTGTTACAACTCATCATTCAAATAGTAAACATACTTATATTGTTATTTGTCACTTGTGCATCTTAGTTCATCTTTAGTTCATGGCTTTGCTATCAAATAAGTGAACAGGACTGCTAAGTCCATTTATCCTGCAGGTCCACATGCATCTTATGTATTTTAAATCCTAAAGTAGTGTTATATATGTTTGTCGATATCAAACACGAGTCAAAAGTACGACTACAGGGGCCCATTTTAAATATATTGATTTGGCAGACTTGGGGGCTGGCAATTATAGTCTGAAGCAAATGGCAAAAGCTAGAGATTTTTTTTTGTTCATGTCAGCAGCGGCTTGAGAAATTGCAAGTTTATGGATAGATTATGATTATGAATAGTGTGGTTTAACAACGGTGATATTGGTTTAAATGTTTTTAAATGTTTGGATGTATTTTATAATTCTATTTAAAATGCTCATTTTAATTATATATTGTTTTTAATGGCATCAAATAGTTGCCTATGTGCCTCCGGGGTTGAGAAAGGCGGGATAGAAATGTCATAAATAAATAAATCTCTGGTGGGAGAGAATTGGCCGTCTGCAAGGATGTTGCCCAGGGACACTCGGATGTTTTACCATCCTGTGGGAGGCTTCTCTCATGCCCCCGCATGGGAAGCCGGAGCTGACAGACAGGAGCTCACCCTGCTCCCCAGATTCAAACCACCGACCTTTCAGTCAGCAGTCCTGCTGGCACAAGTGTTTAACCCATGATGCCACTGGGGACTGCTAGCTAGAGAGTTGGAGACAGAAGTAACTTCAAATGACACAATGGCATGAGGTAGAGTATGCACAGAATATGGTTGTATAAAACTCCCATAAGAAACAAATGTTTTTAAGCATTATATATACGACAAAAGGGGTAAAGATAATTTGTTCTCCGGATTTATCCTGAAAAGCAATGCAGACCATTATGTTTAATCACAGGACTATATTCATTAAGCTCACACCACAACAGGATAAAAAGTTTTGATTTTTGCCCATGGCTGCAATTCTAGCTTAAGTATGTGTGTGTGTGTGCCGACACACTCAATAAGGAAATGTCTAATAAACCTTGAAGGGATTAGACTGCCTCCTTAAGAGCTGGATTCTAATATTACAGCATGAGTTGATTGATTAGTTTTTGAAGAAGCTTATGTCAAATTCTAATCCGTTTTTGGATTGTGCGTGTCTTGTAATGTTGTGGGGCTTTCCTCCCTTTGCTGGGTTTTTTTTTTTTTGGTTGCTCCAGTACTTTGTCATAGCAGCAAAGTGTCGAGCTGCAGCCTTGCGATAAAGCACACGTTTTCTTTCACACTGCTTTCCTTTTTTTGAACAAGAAAGGCCTGTTTACATTCTTAGGGCAGAGTTTCCAGCTAAACACTACGCAGGGGTTAAGGATATGAATGGAAAGCGGGAAATGGATTATGGAGTTGCTGAGCAGGGGGAAAAAAGCCAAATTGAAATACTCCCTTCTATCTTTTAAAAAAAATTAACCTGATATGAAAGGCAGTGATTATAACTTCTCGACAGGACATTGGTTTTGTTCCACATTTTCCATTGTCAAAGTTGTCGCTGTGGTTTCGCAAGAAGTGCTTTGAAGGATCAAATGGTGCTTTTGCTGGGAAAAGACACATGCAGAGAGACAAAGGGATACCTGTTGTGATAGGTAGAGGATATATACATTTGCCTAATAATAGCTAATTTTCTATATTTCTAAATATTTACATCTGATGTAGTAATGGCCTAAAATCCATCCATTGTATATTCCTACTATGCTCAAGAAGCAAGTAATGTTTACAGTAGAGTCTCACTTATCCAACCTTCGTTCATCCAACATTCTGTATTATCCAACGCAGTTCAGGGTAGGAGAAAGAAAGAACCCTTCTCTGTTTTGGCACTAAATTCATAAATACAGTAATTACTACATAATGTTACCATGTATTGAATGGCTTTTTGTATTGATTTGTTGTAAACCATGATATTTTGGTGCTTAATTTGTAAAATCATAATATAATCATAACGTAATTTGACGTTTAATAGACTTTTCCTTAACCCTTTCTTGTTCTCCAACATTTTTGCTTGTCCAATGTTGTGCCGGCCCGTTTATGTTGGATAAGCAAGACTCGACTGTATTTATTTAATTATTTATGGAGGGGTTTTACTTTAAGCTATGTATATCAGTCTTGGAAAATGAATTTCTTCTGAAATGGGAGAATTTATTAATGACTGTTTGTTCACTGATGGCTCTATGGACCATAATAAATATTATTGTTATTGTATATAATAATTTATGGAGCAATAAAGTCAAACCAGTGCTGTATTTTGTAACATAGCTGTGCTCAGAATTAAGTTCCAAGCACTCCAGTGCGTTTTTGTCCCAAATAAAGGGGGGAAGGATCACAATATTAAATGTTTTGGCTTAATTCAATGAGGCTTAGTACCAGATGCAGGATTGTAATGTAACTCTACTAGTCTTAAGTGAACAGAGCCTAGTAAAGTGTGAAAAGGGTGTGCCTAATGTTTCATTGCTATGCTGCACCTGTCAGAACTGTAATATCAGTAAGCTGTGACAAATACATTGCCTTTGCATATCTTTAATGTGAAAATAATACTATATAGTTATTAAATATTGGCACAACATATAAGCCACTTGGCCATACTATTTCAGTACACATACTTTTCAGTACCTTGTGATGTTCAGATAGGTAATTTAATGACTAGGTGATGTTAGAGCTATTCAGAAATCCTGTGTGTTCAG